CTTTGCGCGAATAAGATAATGCCCAATACTTATTTTTAAATAAGTATTTCAAAGTATATCAATGCAATATTATATAGAAGATGTTCATGCATAGGTAAATAAATGTTGAATTTGTTTATTTAAATCGGTAATTTAAAGTATATAAATGCAAGATAATATATGAGAGATTGATTATATATAACTATCACAAACATAAATGTTTGCAACTTTGTAATAACGCTAATTTAAGTACTAAGTCTAAAAGCGATAATCTAAATAAATACTCTTTTTGGTTTAAATTTTTCTAATTCTCTTTTGGGTAGCATTGTTATTGTTTTCATCTTCAGTACATGTCTTTTTTTTTTTTTTTTTTTTTTTTTTTTTTTTTTTATTGGTAGTGTGTCATGTGCAATTGGGTTATTGGTGGTATCATAGTGGGATTCGTCATGGAATGAGATTATGGTGTATGAAGTTTACGATTTGTCTTGTTGTGTATATGATTAGGATCTTAGTTGTGCTATGACCTCTTTATCTTACAAGCACATGTTGATATTTGGTAGTGGTAGTTTTCCCCTACATGTTTCATGTGTTGTGAGACATCTAATTCTAAATTAATTAAATGCATATGTATTATTTTTTGTTGTAGCTACTAATTTATTTTTTAATTTAAGTAATAAGAGCAATAAAGTGGACAAATTATGTTGTGGAACCTACAAGGTGGACACGTTTCCAAAACTGTTCATAATTATAGATATATAATTAAAAAATTATGAACATATAGTTCTATAATTATGAACATAGAGTTGTGAACATAATTATGAACATATAGTTCTGTAATTATGAATATAGAGATTCAATAATTGTGAATATGAAGTTAAAAAATTATGAATATATACCTTTATAATTATGAATATATAATTCAGTAATTATGAACATAGAATTCTGTAATTGTGAATATAGAGTTCAATAATTATGAATATGAAGTTCAAAAATTATGAATATATAACTTTATAATTATAAGCATATAGTTTAGTAATTATTAATATAGAACCGTGTCCACATTGCAAGGTGGACACTGTTCCACAACATAACGATTGAATAAAGTGGTGTACATACTTTTCATTCACAATAATGAAATCATTGATTTTTTTTTTTTTTTAATTTCAATTCGTTGTTGAGACAAATTGTTTTGAGAGTTTGTCAATGACAATTGCTGTCAATAGATGATGATAAAAAATAATGCAAAATATAAGGTTACAATAGATATTATTATAATAATATAGTAAAAATTAACTTTCAAATTTCTTTAGAAGTTTACATACATTGATAAAAGCATAATTGAAATATTAAGTTTTGTTCTCAATAATCAAAAGAAGATTAGTTAAACGAAAAAAAAAACTGAACTTAAATTTATTATTATTTTTTAATGAAAGAAAATCAAATGACTCAAATGACTTTCAAAGTTCCTGATTTATAATCATTGAATGCTATGTATTTAGTCGGGCTAATTATTTGACCAAAGTTTATGTTAAATTTTATATTATATTTTTAATACATTTTAACATATTTGTAGTATATATTTAACAATTATGCTAACTCTAATTGGAATGAGGTTCGAACCTAAGACCTTTCTTATAGAAATTAATGAGTAAGTTAAGAACAATAAATAGTTAACGGAATATTCCGTTAATAAAGTTTATACTAACAGAATTTAAGGTTATTTAAGGAAAGAAAATAATATAATAAAGGGTAGATAAGGAAAATCATTAAAAATACTAAAATCAAAATAATATGAACCATTCGTTTTAAGAAACAATTAGTACCGACGTTTTTTTTTTTTATTCCAGTTAAGGGCCTAACATTATTGGCTCTTATTAGAATTGTAGATGTATAAAAAAAAGTAAAAAAAATGATAAATAAAATATATAATCTTCATTCTCTCTTATTAATAATTTTTAATATTTTTAATAAAATTAGATTAGATATGGTTACAATTATCTATATTCTAACTGATTGGTCTCTCTCCCTATTAGGGTTTTTTTGCTCTCTCTCCCTATTAGGGTTTTCTAGCGTTTCCGACGGCGATTCACCGTGCGACGACGACGTCAACAGTCTGCATGGCGTCGATGGAGCAGCAGCAGGACAATGGAGTTCAGGCAATCACCGAACGCTGGGGAGACATGGTTCTGGAGGACGAGGAGGATGGAGTTGATGCGGGCGGCGCGTATGAGTCGGCGCCGGGGGTTGGGGGGGTTGTTTACTCGGTAGTTGGCCGTTTCTTGACTAAGAAGCTGATAAAAGTGGAGTATATGCGGCAGGTTTTAGCATCGGTATGGCAGCCAGTGTTTGGAATGCGGGTAACGGAACTGCACTCGAATCTGTTTTTGTTTGCTTTTTATCATGAAACTGATATGGTGCGAGTATTGGAGGAGGGGCCGTGGTCCTTCGATAATCATACGCTAGTCTGCCGCCGGGTCCCGATGGTTATCTCCCGGGGGAGGTTAAATTGGATACTCTGGATATGTGGATACAGGTGTATGACTTGCCTCTGGGCTATACGTCTAATGTGGGACAATCTACGAGTAGGCATAATCGTGTCACTGCGCGAACCATTAATCAAAAAATTATAGGACACCGAGGTTACACATAACATAATCAACTCCACTCATCTGTAATGTTGTCAAATCACAGCGCTATAAGCATGTTGCGCAGGAAAGACCACTCCATTCTGTCATAGGCGCCTTGGCCATATCTAACTTGAGAGCACCCCACCCCACATTTCCACACTGCTTCCGGTTCAAGTAATGACCCACCTCCGCAACTATCAATATATTATCTGTAATGAGTCTATCGGGTATAAAAGCACTCTGCGAAGCTGATATTAATTCATCCATTATGGATTTCATTTTGTTAGTCATTACCTTTGCCATTATCCTATAAACCACATTGCTGAGGGCTATAGGCCTGAAATCAGTGACTAATTCAGGAGCACTCTTCTTTGGGATCAAAACCACATCTGTATCATTTAGACCAAGCGAAAATTTCCCAAGTCTGCAGACAACCCATTACCTTCATTCTCTCTTTTTAATAATTTTTAATATTTTAAATAAAATTAGATTAGATATGGTTACAAACCCTCTTGAAATTGCTTCTATATAAAAGGAGTAAAAACGCGTACTTTTTAAAATTTCCAATGTGGGACAAGGAGAAAAACGAGTGAAGCTTCCACTTTGCATTAGTGTAATTCACTAATTCATGATGATAATTTTTTGTATACTTCGTAGAGTGTATGTGACAAAAGGAAAAATAAAATGAGCAGATATATTAAAATTATTTATTAGCCACAAATTAATTAAACTATAATACATATAATTTAACTATATATGTCAATAATGAAGTCTTATTTAAGTAGAGCTTGTTGGGGAAGAAGCCTTATCGTTATCATCATTTAGAGATCGATGATTTTGCGTCCTAAACCCATACGCGAGAATTATGATAGTTTATGAAAACAAGACGTTAGATAGTTAGTATCTTTTTTGCCTTAAATTGCTCTTTTTTTATTATAAAGAAGGGGATACCCTACATATACACACTACTTGCCTCAACCAAGGTTCAAACCCATCACCTCCCATCTAGGGGCATAACCCGATACTAGTGAACTACAAGCCACTTAGTCTTAAATTGCTCTTTGATTGATAAGTAAATGAATTGTTCTCAATTGCCCTAAGGCCATCGATCTTCCAATAATGACCATGGTCAACAACCCAAATTGTGTAAATCATATTTTGTATACTATAAAATAACGTATATTTTTTTTGAGGAATAAAATAATGTACATTTAGTACACAAATAATATACTTTTAATATATTAAAAATATACTTTGTTTTTAAGAAAAGTACATCAATTAAATACTAAATGTAAATTATTATATATTCTATATTATATATTACCCTTTTAATATATTAAAAATATACTTTGTTTTTAAGAAAAGTACATCAATTAAATACTAAATGTAAATTATTATATATTCTATATTATATATTATATATTGGGGCCTTAATTAAGTGGTGCAAGTTGACTAGGCTAAGTAGTTTGGTTAGCTTAATAATTAGAAGTTCTTAATCAATTAGACTCTGTGCCTAATATAAACCTGGATTGATGGAATACATGACATTCATTATATAGCACATGCAACTCACGGTACTCATACTGCTCAGTAGACATCAATATACCATCTGTGGTTCTGAGTCAAGTATGAGACAATAATGGCTAACGGTCTATCGTTCAAGAGGCAACACAATAAGACATCAACTGTGGCTAGAGATCAACAATGCTTCCGCTTCCGCTACTACGAAGTTAAGTTTCTCGTAGATTATTATTCAGTATCGTTAAATTATTTAGATCTAACATTTGGTATCAGAGTGAAATCTAGTTGCCGCTGCTCCTCGTTTTAGTCGACACTAATGATTCACCATGGCTGCTGGGGCTTGCTTTTGGCTGATTAATTTGAGAAAGATGATGATGGATTATAAAGTTGTAATATAAATTCTAAAGGGATTATGTGTTGGTCGTTGGATACAGATTCAACTTAAAATTATCAAGTTAAGATTCTAATCTTGAATGATAAAAAAAAACTTGTAATAGTTATGGTTGGTTCAATCTTGTCACACATGATCTTCTCTCATGTGATTTATGAGTTATTACTTATGAATGAAATTTACCCAATGTACACCTTCAAATAGTGAATTCAGATTTTCTGGTTAAAAATAAAAATAAAAATTTAAAGATGAACAAGAAATAAAAAAATGATAAATGAAGTTATTAGGAAGGAAAATTGAGGGGGTAAAACACGTGGCATGTTCCCACTTTTAGATCCTATCAAGTCAACCACCGCTTTTGAAGAATCTTCTTCCTCTCTTACCGGCAACCGGCTGCACTCTACATCTCTGTATTTCTACGTATTCCGTTACCTTTCGCTCCGTATTTTATACTCTCTTCAGATTTTTATTTTCTTCTTCTTCTCCTTCTTCATTGCCTCTGTCACTTGTGTAGTTGTGTGCATAAAGAATATCTATCTCCCATGGCCACTCTTCTCTAAAACTGAAGGTACAGCGTTCGTGCTTCTTCCTTCCATAAAAAGGCTTCCGCCGGAAACCTCGGCTCGCCGGAGAACTGAACAAACGCCTTCGATATCCCGGCAGCGTAAGTTTCCTCACCATTACGTTGATATTTATACTCCTGAACATGGGTTGATGAGAGTTTGTTGGGTTTTTTCCATTGTAGGTTCGATTTCCGATTGAAAAAAGCATGAAAGTTGGAAACTTTTTCTAAATCCGGATCAAGATATTTCTGGGATTTAGTAAACTTTTCGGGAAGCTTTATTGTTGTTAGTTTGAATTGGAAGTCTGTTTAGCTTTTCGGGTGAGTGAGAAAATGGGAGTGAAAGTTGCGGCGGCGGCGGCGACGTGTTTGCATTGGTCACAGCCTTCGGTTTCTCGGTCGCCGTCTTTTGCTCAAACCCTCGCGTCGGTAATTTCATCTCCTTCCCAGAAACGACGTAGTTTGATATGTAGTGAACGGTCCGGTTTGTTCGGAGCTCATTCGCCGAACCTCTCCCGGTCCCGATCGTGTCAGTACCCGAACCGCCGGGTCCGATTGATCCGACGAGCCTGCAGTGGTAGCCTAAGTTCTTTCTCGAACGAGGAATTTTCTCAAGAACCAGGGAGTTATTCTGGTGCCATGTTTTCCGATAATCAGAAACCTTTTGATGTGGTGGAGCCGGAGCCGCCGGGTTGGGCCGGGAGGGAGGAGATGATTCCGGCGAGCATTGAACGGAAGGCCAACAGCGTTGATCTCCCCCTATCTCTCAGGATCATAAAGAGAAAGAAGCAATGGCAAAAGGGGGTGAGAGAGGCAGGGGAATCAGCATATTGTTCTGTGAAGAAAGCATTCTCAAACATGGTTCTCATAATCCGAGAACTCAACACCTATCTTCTGCAGACGAGAGAAATGCTGTCTTATGAAGAGCTTCAAGGGGTTCTAATCAGGGTCGAGAAGGAGATCCACGCCTCGTTCGTGTGGCTCTTCCAGCAAGTCTTCTCCCATACCCCAACTCTCATGGTGTATGTGATGATCCTTCTGGCCAATTTCAGTGTCCATTCCATGGCCACCACTGCTGCTGTAACACCCACCATTGAAGCTGTTTCTATTGTGAATGATGATCATCAAAAGTTCGATTCTTCAGCCATTAAAACCTTTTCGATCTCCTCATCCAATGGCAATAGCACAACGATTGATGGAAGCAATGGTGGTGGTGGTGGGAAGTACAGACCGGTTGCTAATGGCACGGATGGTGATGGCGGATTTGACAGACAATTGTCTTCAGATGGGAAGTCTTCTATCGGGAACATGACTAGGACTAGCGAAGACGAGTCTGTGTCTGGCCAAGTTGCCAGGGAAGACGAGTTGAGGCTGTGGGATTCGATTGTTGATGAGGCTTCAAGAATGCAGTCTGTACTAAGAGATGAATCTCTGGGCCATGGAGCAATATTTGTGTCACCCGTGTATGCAAAGATTGAATCCGATGATTATAGCGATTACTTCAGAACTGAGATGATGTATCAGATAGGACTTGATCAAGAACCCAACAATTCCATGTTACTCGCAAATTATGCTCAGTTTCTTCACCTAGTTGCCCAAGACTATGACAGGTATAAATCTGTTCACTTTCTTTGTTCCTTTATCTGTTTTAGACCATTTCGAAAACGTATTTGACCTCGTTCTAGTGATTGGCATTAATCCCATTACTCTAATCAGATTAAGGTTGTTGCTTCATTTGGCAAACAATCATGTTGGAGACAATTTTAGTTTTAGAACTGAATATGTTATGTTGTGCTTATCTGCAAATCCTCACTGCACTGTATGGCTTCTTGAATGTGTTATGTTGTGTAGTTCCCTTTACTGCCTCTAACTTGGTAAGGGATGGGGAGAGACTAAACATATTAAATGTGTGAAAAAATGGTGAATTATTTATGAATGGTTTTAGGCCCTGTTTGACCACTATTAACTGTTTGATTTGATTAAACAATCAATATGAGTGTTTGATTAATTAGCTTGTCGTAACAACTTATTGCTCCAAAATGCTAAAATTCAAAAAGCTGCTCAAAGCAGTTTTTTCGATTAGCTTTTTTTGAAAGTCATTTTGCATGTAATCAGCTATCAGCTAACAGTTAATTTATCAAATATTTTTCTACAATCAGCTAATGCTATCAACCAGTCAAACCCACTAATCCAATCAGCTAACAGTTATTTATCAAACACCCCATTAGTTCTTCTTGATTGCTTTGTTTATCGGTTTGGTGAGATGGATGGTGACTAGAGTTGCATACATTGTGACTAATACAGAGCGGAGGAATACTTCAAGAGAGCAACGGGGGTAGAACCGAGGGATGCTGATGCACTGAACAAATACGCGACATTTCTTTGGCAGGTGAGGAAGGACCTTTGGGGTGCTGAGCAAAGATACCAAGATGCTGTTGCTGCTGCTGAGCCTAACAACTCCTTCTATGCAGCATGCTATGCTCATTTCCTGTGGAGCACTGGCGGCGAGGACACTTGCTTCCCTCTCGACACCAGCAACGAATGATGTTTAATCCCCCAACCGAAACATGGGAAAATAGCAGCACGTAAGATGTAGGATACGCGATACACAACACTGTTTTTAATCCTGTTATGAACTTGTTCATAATCAATCTGTAGCTAGCCTTGAAGGGGATGGAGTCCATGTCCATGGCTTAAAAGTTAAAACTGTTTGGTCATTGGCTTCTTCTGTCACCTGAAGAGCTGTGGTGGAGGAGAATGGGATTCTGGTGGTTCTTAAGAGTTCAAGAAAAGAAGGTTTGTTTGTTCTTTTCACAACAGCCTTACTCCATATTGCAGGAATGCAGGGCCAGAAACAAGAAGACTGCTTTGTTTGTGTTTCTCTGTATTCTTCTCTTCTTGTTCATCCCTCTTTACTAAAACTTTATGTTTGAGTCATGTGTTGATTGGTATAGAATCACATGCCCAATTGTAATTAAACTTTAATTTGTTTAATATCTTAATAGATATATATATATTTTTGTCAGTGACAAGGAAAACCTGCAACCACTATGAGAGTTTACACTGGGTAATTCTACCTTGTGACTCTAGCCGACAAAGAACTATCTATAACTTTATAAGAAGGTAAACCAGTCTAGATTACTTGCTAGAACCAAAAACTAATAGATTGTTTGTGTGGACTTGGATAGTTTTCGAAGTATAATTTGAATCCGAAGTCAAAAGTTGAAGTTTACGAGTAAGCTTTATTTAGCTTTAACAAAAAATTTTGAAAGCATGACTTTCCTCGTAAAACATGAATCTAGCTATGCCGTTGTTACATGGGAACCTTAGCTGATCAAACACGTATTAGACCAGAATGGAGTTTAATTAATTGTCGGCGATCCTGCCGGCCGGGGTTTCGGAGATAAGGTGGCCGCCGACTAACACGTGAAACTTTTTTAACACTTCATATCTACTCCATCCTCCTCCCTAGTTTTCTCAATAAGTGGTAAAGTGAAGAACTCATCAAAAGGATCAAAATTGACCAAAATTTGATAGTTTAAAATGTTAAATAATAAAAACGACCAAGTTTAGAATTATCACTAAAAGACAAGAGACCTCCATTGAATTTAACTTTTACATGATTAATAAATTATTATAATTGATGGGGTATGGACCCCGGGGCCCAAAGCAAAGAGGGGAGGCCCAAAAAGAAAGAGCGGCCCGAAGAGAAGAAGGGGCCAAGTCCAGAAGAAGGAAGGCTCAGGAAAGACATAAGTCGAACGGGGAATCGGCTCGACCCTGTGGTCGGCGCAAGTGCCAAGAGACCATTGGAGCATTTAAGAGGCTATTTAAAGGCCCAATCAAAAGAGCCGTTGGGAGGCCCAGTAACAACAGCCCAACGGTCTTTAGAGATAAATGTGAGTTAATGGGCCAATCTATGGCCTTAAGTATATGCTTTGATGAATTTCAAGGAGACCCACTATAAAAGGGCTCCTCAGAAATTGTAAAGGGGGACGGCATGTTCACGCCAAGAGTATACATACACTTACAAAAGCTATCACTTTCTCCCTTCTATTTTTGAAAGGTGAATCCATCAACTAAGGTTGTGTTGGACCTTCCTGAGCCCAAAAACCCTAAAACCAACAATAATAAAATAAATTTATGTCATCTTACCATCTAATATTACCAAACATTTCTTTTTAAATTATTAATATTACTTATCGATAACCAACATGGTTGACCGTGGTGATTCAACACCTTGTCTCGTTTATTTTTAAAAGTCTAATTTATGACTAAAAATTCTCAAGATTCCTTTTCTATGATTACCAATGATGACACAAAAAACAATAATAATAAATTTGAAAAAAAAAATAAAATGATAAACAACAAGAACAACAACAATTATTTTAAAATTAAATTAATTTAAATTTATATCTAAAATTAAAAATAATTTAAATATTATTAAAAAAAATAATAAATTCGTAGCTTCATATACTTTTTGCGCATTAACAATTAATAGTTAAAAAAATAATTTATCAAATCACAAAAATGATTCATTGGTCAATAAAACATGTAATACAATTTGATATCAATTTTTGTTTTTTGTTTTTTAATACAACTTGTTATTAGTTTTTAGATCACTATTCATTAATTTTTGTATTACAAGTTGTATTATGTCAGGAAATATGCACCATCAACGTTAGGAAATACACCATACAAAACAGAGTAAATAGAGCCCTGCATCACCAAACACACACCATTAGGTGTTAGTAAAAACACCATACACTGTTCGGAAATACACCATTGGGGATGGTGAGTTATATGGTGTATTTTTTTGAGTCTGTCGTGTATTTTGTGATGTTTTATTGCATTTCATTGTGGTGTGTTTTTATTACACTGTTGGTGCATATTGTTAACACTGTTGGTGTATTCTAGAATTTGACCGCACCGCCGCACGGTAAGACCCTGCCGCATATGAGCGCTCTTCTATATAAAAAAACGCTCATATGTGGTCATGTCATTAGGTGTGGTTGTGTGGTCGTATCTGTGTCGTTGAATCAGATTAATCTGTTTAATCTAAAGGCAGTGGTAATTTTGAGAATTTTTGCGCGTTTTAGCAAGTGGGGGTGTTATGGTAATTACAGTGACCATTTATAGCGGGCGGGTTTCAGAATACACCAACAGTGTTGACAACAAACACCAATAGTGTAATAAAACACACCACAGTGAAACACACCAATGGTGTATTCCCGTGTTATGGTAATTACAGTGGCCATTTATAGCGGTCGGGTTCCAGAATAGACCAACAGTGTTGACAACATGCACCAATAGTGTAATAAAACACACAACAATATGATTTTCCCTATTCCGGTGTTTTATGACAAATTTACCCTTACAGTTCGCTGGGTGGGAGAATGTGCGCGAAAATACTGAAAAAAATCTTGATTAATATGATTCATTAGATCTATCTAATCTAATGGTCTATAATTGACCATATGACTATACCTAACAACATGGCCACATGTGATCACTCCTCTCTCTCTCTCTCTCTCTCTCTATATATATATATATATATATATATATATATATATATATATATATATATATATATATATATATATAGAGGCGGGTTCAGGTGCGGCAGTGTCTTACGGTGCCGCAACACCAATAGTTCAACAAATATGCACCATCAACGTTAGGAAAATACACCACACATAACAGAGTAAACAGAGCCCTGCATCACCAAACACACACCATTAGGTGTGAGTAAAATCATCATACACTATTCGGAAATACACCATTGGGGTTGGTGAGTTATATGGTGTGTTTTTTTTGAGTCTGTTGTGTATTTTGTGATGTTTATTGCATTTCATTGTGGTGTGTTTTTATTACGCTGTTGATGCATATTGTTAACACTGTTGGTGTATTCTGGAATTTGACCGCACCGCCGCACGGTAAGACCCCGCCGCATATGAGCTCTTATATATATATATATATATATATATATATATATATATATATATATATATATATATATATATATATATATATATATATATATATATATATATGGTTGATGCTTCCCGTACGGTTGGACGCCCTTTAAGCATTATCATGGCGCACCTTAAATACACAAATCATCACGCACCTTAAGTCTACAAACAAAGCACCTTAAGATAACAAATCACTCACCTTAAGTACAAAAATCACGCACATTAAGCACAGAACAAAGCACATTGAGCACAAAACTCACACACTCAAGATTTTAAAATGTCTCACATTAAGCACAAACTCACGCACATTAAGTACAAAACTCACGCACATTAACCACAAACCTCACGCACATTAAGCATTAAACTGATGCATTTAAGTATTAACTCACAAAATTTAAGTTTAAACAACTACTAACATTAATGACTAACCCCACGCACATTAAGAACAAACCTCACGCACATTAAGCACAAACTTCACTCACCTTAAGAACAAATCTCACGCACCTTAAGTATAAAAGCACACACACTTTAAGTTTTAACAACTATTCACATTAAGCACAAACTCACGCACATTAAGCACAAAAGTCACGCACGCACAAGACTCATGCACCTTATATACAAAACTCACGCACGCACAAGACTCATGCACCTGATATACAAAACTCACGCACATTAATCACAAAACCACTCACCTTAATTTTGACCTAGATGCAAAAATTACAAAATTGCCACCGCATTTTTTTTAAAGTTTGGTAATCTTAGACGTTGATTAAAGCGAGATGAATGACTCAGATTAAACCGCACAACCGCACCTGAAGCTCTCACCCGCACGAGAACCGATATATATATATATATATATATATATATATATATATATATATATATATATATATATATATATATATATATATAGACACACACACACACATACACACACACACATATACGTATATATTCCCATGATCTAACATCTTATCCAACCTCAACTATTGGATTGCATCTCTCATGAAAATGTCCCTCACCGTTCCTATATATACAATAGTTCGTCAGTACTCACTACTCGTGGCCCCACCTCTAATCTAATCTCAACTGTTGGATTGTACCTCTCATGAAAATGTCCCTCATCGTTCCTATATATTTAATAGTTCGTCACTACTCACTACTCATGGCCCCACCTCTAATTTAATATCAATCGTTGGATTACATCTCTCATGAAAATGTCCATCACCGTTTCTATGAATACAATAGTTCGCCACTACTCACTACTCATTACCCAACCTCTAATCTAATCTCAACCGTTGAATTCCATCTCTCATGAAAATGTCGTCCCTCACCCTTCTTTTATATATATATATATATATATATATATATATATATATATATATATATATATATATATATATATATATATTAGTTCGTCACTATTAACTACTCATGGCCCCACCTCTAATCCAATCTCAACTGTTGAATTGCATTTCTCATGAAAAATATTACTCACCATTCTTATATATATCATAGATCGTCACTACTCATGGCCCCACCTCTAATCCAATCGCAACCATTAGATTAAATCTCTCATGAAAATGTCCCTAACCATTTTTACAAATACAATAGTTCGTAACTACTCACTATCCATTCTTTACTTAAAAACACTAATTAAGCTACCTCTATTAGTATTTTTTTTTTTGAAAATAGCTACCTCTATTAGTATAATTTGTCAAATCTCAATTTTTTTTTCTTTTTATCATTTTCACTTCAAAACCATCAATCTTTCTCCCTCTAGCTCTTCCATGGACGGCGGCCGCGGTGGTGGTTCCTACCGATTACCGTCAAGTTCCAGAGCCTTATCCTCCCACCTTTCCCACTGGTGATGGTTCACCAAAGAAACAATCAAGAGATTCTTTTCGTGAAACCTTTGATTTTTCATCATTATCGTTTCATGGCGGCGCAAGCAATACTAAATGTAACAACCCAAAATTTTATTTTATAAATCCAATTTTAAGAAATTTCAAAATAGCCATTTTCACTCCATTAAAAATTTTTGCGATCA